TCTGGGTTGCATCTGAAGTGGGAATTGATTGGTGGGTAGAATTTGATTATTATTTATTTGTTTTTAATTTTTATTTTTTTAGAGACAGGGTTTTGCTCTGTCACCCCAGCAGGACTGCAGTGGCTTTATCACAGCTCACTACAACCTTGAACTCCTGGGCTCCAGTGATCCTCCTGCCTCAGCTTCTTGAGTAGCTGAGACTACAGATGCATGCTACTATGCCTGCCTAATTTTTTATTTCTTGCGGAGATGGGGTCTTACAATGTTGCCCAGGCTGATGTCCACCTCCTGGCCTCAAGCAATCCTCCTACCTCAGCCTTCCAGAGTGCTGAAATTATAGGCGTGAGCCACTGCACCTGGCCCGGTGGACAGAATTGAGATGTTTGGAGATGTGGAAAGAGGAAAGGAAGAGAAAAAACATCACCCCACACCAGCTCACAGCAACTTCAAGTTCTTGGGCTTAAGTGGTTCTCTTGTCTCAGCCTCCCGAGTAGCTGGGACTACAGGTACCCACCACAATGCTGGGGTATTTTTTTGGTTGTAGTTGTCATCGTTATTCAGCAGGCCTGGGCTGGGTTTGAACCTCCAGCCCCGGTGTATGTGGCTGGCACCCCAGCCACTGAGTTACAGGCGCTGAGCTGAAGACTCAGATTTCTGATAATTACTCTCCCTTACTTTATGATTTATACACAACTAGAGGGTTGGACTTTCTGGGTTTGTCTTTCCCCCTTAGTATCCATCCCCTCCTTTTCCCACAAATCACCTGACTTCCCCGAAAATTCTGAAACACACCCTTTGGCTGAAAAAGGAGCATTAGGCAATCGGTGAAATTCCCCATTTTTCCTTTCTCCCCTGGAGGCCTGGATAGAGGGATCTCAGGCCATGGGAGGAGGATGCTGTACTTGTTTCAAAAGCAGAGGGAGCTCCAAGATCAAGGCTGAGTTACCCTTCCATATGCCACAGTCTCCCAGCCCCCTCTGTTTAGATCAGAGCATTTCGGACATGCACACTTGGTTAGGGAATTGCATGAACAAAACCAGGACAGGGAGGCCAGCGGGAGGTTCCTGTGGAGGGGGAGCATCAAGGCCCTGGGAGCCAGCAGGGTCGCCCAGCATGTCCACTGGCAGGAGAGAGAGGACCAGCCTGCTTGTTCCCATCAGCTTCTGAAGGTAAAAACCTTAAAACAAAGAGCAGAGCTTTGAAGGAGGAGAAGAGAAAGGCAGAAAACCTCATGTAGGAGGGTTTGGGGCAAAGCTAGAGGTCTGAAAAGGGCAGAATTTAAAAAGGCTGAATATAGACAACCTTTTTCTCTTAGGC